CCGGGGCTGAAGGTTGAGCTGATGCGCTGCGTACTGAACCGCAAACGGGCACAGAAAATGGGGAGCACCCGCATGGATCATGGACGTACGAGCGACGTCCATGACCATGCCAATGCGGCGCTCAGCAATCCCATTTTGCTGTGGAGAGGCCGGAAGCGTGAAGGTCTGGCGGATGCCCTGTGCACGACAGAAGGCTCCCAGACGGGCAGAGGAAAACTCCCCGCCTCTGTCAGAGTGCAGACGCAGAACAGGAAAGTCCGAGCCGAAACTCTCTCTGAGCTGGAGACGAGCTGTGCGGATCCAGTCGATCAACGCATCAGTGACGTCACCCTTGCTGCGCAAGGGGAACACCGTGGTGTAACGCGAGTAGTCGTCAACCACCAACAGGAAGTAACGCTCGTGACCCTGGCCACGGACGCGGGCGGGGCCCCACACGTCCATGTGAAGAGTCTGCAGGGGAGCCTCTGTCGGAGGAAACTTGGAGGAGTGAGGGGCGGCGCGCTGCCGCCCCTCGACGCAGGGAACGCAGGTAGGGGCAGGCCCCGGAGGGAGGGGAGGGAGGGACCGGGGGAGACCAGAGACAAGGACACGGGAGGCCATGCCTCGGAGACGAGGCAGGGAGGGGTGACCAAGGCGGTGGTGCCAAAGGAGAGTCTGGTGGGATAGGAGACGACACGAGCAGGGAGCAGACTCAGGACCAGACCTGGACGCTGCAGCAAACACCTGACTCGACGCAGCTACCTGACCAGACTCAGCAACCAGAGGAGACTCAGTAGTCAGTGTGTACAGGCTCGACCCCGGCCGACGGGTAAACGTGGCCAAGTGTCGGCCCGTCCGAGCACAAGTACAGTGGGTCACCCGCTGACTCGCAGGAGTGAACTGGTCAACCCCCCGATCCTGTAGATCAGCACCACTCACCAAGTTCGTAGAGAACGAGGGGAAGTAGAGACCTGACAGGGTGCCAGAGGGGGCTGCCGGACACGGTAAGACAGTGGAGAAGCTAGCAAGGACAGGACCCCCAATGGGGTCCGCCAGGGAGACCGCAACCGGCCGACTGAGCGGCGTAAGCGTGGTGCGGTCTCGAAAGAAGGAGCGGGAAGCACCCGAGTCAAGGGTGAAGGTGTGTAAGGCCTGAGCCGACGTGGTACCTGAGAGAGCAGACTCACCAGCACCTGGGGCAGCAGACGCACTAGCACCTAGAGCAGCAGCCTCACCAGCACCTAGAGCAGCAGCCTCACCAACACCTAGAGCAGCAGCCTCAATGCCCGGGTCAGGCGGAACACACAGGTAACAGTCACCCTCATCACTAGTAGGCAATGCATACATGGCAGTGAGGATAGCATCATAGTCAAGAGTATAGATATCTACCTGCAGCCGAAGCAGTTCCACCCAGTCGGGGAGCTCAGCCGCGTCGCCAAACTCCGTACGCCAGGCGTCGCTCAGACGGGCGAAGCAGCGGGACTCTGCGTGACCAAACGTCCCGCAAGGCTGACCAGTCCGAGCACCAGTGCGAATGACGTACGGACAGCGAGCAGTACCCCGTGACCCGTCACGCTGAGCGTACCACTCACGAAGCTGCTGGGGCGAAAGGACCGCGCACGGACGACGCTGAAGCTGCACCTGGCCACTACAAGCAGCTGCCGAACTACTTACTCCAGGACGACTCCCACTACGGCCACCCCGACAACCCCAACTAGCGTACCACTCACGAAGCTGTTGGGGGGTGAGGGACTCACGCGGACGGCGCTGGAGCTGCATCTGGACACGCCAGGAGCAGCAGTAGCAGTAGAAAAAGCAGTAGCAGCAAGAGCAGCAGTAACAGCAGTACGGGCAGGGCAGTGCTCACTAGTGGCGAGAAGGGCAGGCGTACGACGGCGGCAACGGCGAGGCCGCTACCACTGTAGGGCGAGGGCTCCGCGGCAGCTGCAGGGGCGGCTGCTCCAGGGGCGGCTGCTCCAGGGGCGGCTGCTGCAGGGGCGGCTGCCCCAGGGGCGGCTGCTGCAGGGGTGGCTGCTCCAGGGGCGGCTGCTGCAGTGGCGGCTGCTCCAGGGGCGGCTGCTGCAGGGGCGGCTGCTGCAGGGGCGGCTGCTCCAGGGGCGGCTGCTGCAGGGGCGGCTGTTCCAGGGGCGGCTGCTGCAGGGGCGGCTGCTCCAGGGGCGGCTACTGCAGGGGTGGCTGCTCCAGGGGCGGCTGCTGCAGTGGCGGCTGCTCCTGGGGCGGCTGCTTCAGGGGTGGCTGCTCCAGGGGCGGCTGCTGCAGGGGAGGCTGCTCCAGGGGCAGCTGCTGCAGTGGCGGCTGCTCCAGGGGCGGCTGCTGCAGGGGCGGTTGCTCCAGGGGCGGCTGCTGCAGTGGCGGCTGCTCCAGGGGCGGCTTTTGCAGTGGTGGCTGCTCCAGGGGCAGCTGCTGCAGTGGCTGCTGCTCCAGGGGCGGCTGCTGCAGGGGCGGCTGCTCCAGGGGCGGCTGCTGCAGGGGCGGCTGCTGCAGGGGCGGCTGCTCCAGGGGCGGCTACTGCAGGGGCGGTTGCTCCAGGGGCGGCTGCTGCAGTGGTGGCTGCTCCAGGGGCGGCTGCTGCAGTGGCGGCTGCTCCAGGGGCGGCTGCTGCAGTGGCTGCTGCTCCAGGGGCGGCTGCTACTGGTGTGGCTGCTCCAGGGGCGGCTGCTGCAGTGGCGGCTGCTCCAGGGGCGGTTGCTGCAGGGGCGGCTGCTCCAGGGGCGGCTGCTGCAGGTGTGGCTGCTCCAGGGGCGGCTGATGTAGTGGCGGCTGCTCCAGGGGCGGCTGCTTCAGGGGAGGCTGCTCCAGGGGCGGCTGCTGCAGTGGCGGCTGCTCCAGGGGCGGCTGCTGCAGTGGCGGCTGCTCCAGGGCGCGGGTTAGGGCAGGGTCCCGCAGGGGCGTTTCGACGCACAGGAGCCGCGCCCCGTGGGTCCCGCAGGGGCGACGCGACGAGGCGGGGGCGACGCGGCGGGGCCGCGAAGGGCGACGGGGCGGGGTCGCTACGGGCAGCGGGGCGGGGCCGCGAAGGGGCCGCAAAGGGAGCCGCGAGGGGGCCGCGAGGGGGCCGTGAAAGGGCCGTGAAGGGGCCGCGGAGGGCGACGGGGCCGGGTCGCTACGGGCAGCGGGGCGGGGCCGCGAAGGGGCCGCGAAGGGAGCCGCGAGGGGGCCGCGAGGGGGCCGTGAAGGGGACGTGAAGGGAGCCGCGAGGGGGCCGCGAGGGGGCCGTGAAGGGGCCGTGAAGGGGCCGCGAGGGGGCCGCGAAGGGGCCGTGAAGGGGCCACGAAGGTGCCACGAAGGGGCCGTGAAGGGGCCGTGAAGGGGCCGTGAAGGGGCCACGAAGGTGCCACGAAGGGGCCGCGAAGGGAGGCCGCGAAGGGGCCACGAGGGGCCTGAAGGGGCCGCGAAGGGCCGTGAGAGGGGCCGTGAGAAGCCGTGAGAGGGGCCGCTACGGGGCCGTAGGGGAGCGCGACAGGCCACTAAGGGCAGGGGACGCGACGGGAGAGTAGGCACACGGGGCGCGACTCGGGCAGGGGCGAAGCGCGCTCCGGGTAGGAAAAAAAATCGATATTCGGTGGGCCCTAGGAAACGTTCCCACTAGGGAACCTGCTCTATACCATGTGAAGAATGAGGAATGAATGAACTAGCAAGCAGGTGGGTACAAGTAGGAAAACCTAGAAGTGTTGTACCCCATATTGTCTACCCCACTACAGCCTACACAGACTATAGCATAAGAGTTTGACATGCACTTGAGTCAGGAGGACTGAGGTCTCGAGGCATCTCAGGGAAGGCCAGGGCAGATGCAGCAGCTGTTGCAACTTTCATTCGACGCCGTCGTTAAAGGAAGTTGGGAATTGGATCTCTCCTGAAGTTTCGAGAACACCCAAGTTACATTGCGGCTGAAACCGCTTTCCACCGTATTCAAAAGACTACAAGATTGGCTTCGACCAAGCATCACCACTCTCGACAGCGCAACTTCAAAAAGGCCCAACCAAACCTGAAGCAGCATACAAGGCAAGGCGCCAGCATTTTCCAACCAAACCTGAATATGAAGTGTGCCAACTGTGAAATGAAATCTGCAACGGGCAAGAGAAGATGTTTAGGCACTTGATTTTAAAACCTCCATAGGAATCTGCAAGAGTACGATAGTATATGCTACCTATGCCCTCCAGCTCCAGTTACGACCTTCGGTGTTTTTGTGTTATACATTGTAATCCATTGCACGAAAGGCAGGTCGGGCCCAGGTTCATTGGGACTCCTGTCTTCAATCGTCTGGGCAGTGCGTGCACGTTTTTTCTTGGGAGGCACCCTTGGCGTAGTCATGAGGTAGAGTAGAATCCGTATGAAAATTGAGTGTTGCTTGTGTGCTGCATTTGTAGTACAAATTTGCACAAGTTTTTACGGAAGGGGGCAATGGAGGGGATGAACCCTTGTGTTGCCTCGAGTCGCATCTACATGTTTTGGGTTTCGCGGTTACGCAACTTTGTTTTTCCGGTACCCATAAACCGTAGCTGGTCATTTACTTCTGGCGCCACCGTGAATGCTGCCGATCAAAGTTTTGTGATCGCGGGGGTGGTTGATTGGTTACGATCACAATTAGCAAGTCAATGTTGACGGCAAACTCATGCAACATAGATCGCGTGACGAACCCTGCCAAGTGTCATGCGTGGGGGCTTGCCCTACTCGGACATCATAACGTACTCTCGAAGAACTTGTAAGTATAATATAAATTGTAAAACGAAACTCCACCCTAATATGGATCCCAGTTCAGCCACGGCCTAAACTCCTCCTCATCTCCTCTTCCCTCTTCCTCCCCTTCTGCCCCACTGCCCCGCGCCCTCCCCCCGCCCGCCTCCGCTGCTGCAGGCGCCCGCGGGTGCGGGGAGGCCGTCCGCAGACTCGCAGGAGGCTGGCACAGAGGCTGTGCGACTAGTTTATCATGCAGGAAGCCCTTACACCTCCCGTAGCCTGGCTCGCCAGTGCGCACGCCTTGGCTCACGCGCTCGCTGTCGCTATTCGCCCCCATTGCCCCGCTTGGGGTTGCAGGCCTGTCGGTGCTGCCAGGGCGTCTGAGGCCGGGGGAGGAGGGCGCGGCGAGGGAGAAAGGGGAGGGGGCATGGGGCGCTAAACCCGGCGGGGAAGAGGCGCGAAGGCATGTGCGCTGGCGAGGCACCATCGCGAGAGGAGAGGAAGGGATGAGAGAGCGGAGCGGGGATACGAGAGGATGGGATGATTTTGGAGAAGGGAGGAATGGAAGATGGGAATATAGAAACAGGGAAGGGAGGAACGCAGGGGAGTGACCGGGTGCTAGCAAGGGGGAGTTTGACTAAGGACAAAGGAAAAACAGGGGACAAGCAATAGGAGAGAAAAGGTGGGGAAGCAAGAAGGGAAAGAGGTGTAGGAGTGGGTGAAATGAAGGCACGCAAGGGGAGAAATCGAGAGCAACGGGGAAGAAAAGGGGGAAACGGGGGGAAGGAGGGAATGGAACGAGGGGTTGGAGAGGGGAAATAAGGGAAAGGAGGGGGGACATGAGGGAGAAGAGTAGGGAGAAAGGAGGACATGGAGGAGAGAGGAGGACGGGGGGGGGGGAGCGGAAAACATAGGGAGAGAGGGGGACGGGAGGAGAGAGGAGGATAATGGGGGACATGATGAGAGAGGAGAGGAATGGGTGAGAGAGGGGAGGAAGGGATGATAGAGGGGAGGAATGCATGAAGTAGAGGGTCGAGGGAACTATGAGGGAGGGACGGAGGGACCGAGGAGTGAGGGGTAGCGAAAACAACGGAGCATTCATGCGCCCTCTAATCCAGGCACACAAGCGTACACACGGATGCACGTCTACACACCTCAATGGTGGTGAGCACAGCGGCCTGCACCATGTACTCGGAGGTGCACACATACTGTGGGCAGGATTTTGACAGGAAGGGAGCAAGGAGACTGTGGAGGCAAGCAGGTGGCGAAAGGAGGGGAAATGAGTGGAAGCAGGGGGGTCACAGGAGAAACAAGGTGGGAAATGCGGCGAAGAAAGGGGGGGAAAGATGGGAACCAGGGGCGGATAAATGGGAAAGAAGAGGGGGGGGGGGGGGGGGGGGGGGGGAGAGGGCAATCAGCGGGGGAAACGAGGGGAATAAGGGTGATGGGAAGCTGGTGGTAAAAAAAAAAAACAAGAGGCGACGAAATCGTCTTAGGGTTGCGAAGCTGTTTTGCACAAGCATATTTTGTTTGATTTCTATCTCTATACAAAATTCTGAGCTATGTGGGACTTTATGCTTGTTTTGTTGGGGTTGGTTAAAATAGCTGGCATCGAGAATCAAAATTGGCACTTTTTGATCGCGCTCTGAAATTCATTAGGGCTGTGCTACAAAGTGTTGAGAACATTTTGGATTTAGTGTACATAGATATCTATGTTCACATTTCTCTTGTTAAAAGTGTATGTAACAAAAACTTCTCTTGCTCTTCTCTATTACCCCGCTCTCAAGGATCGATCACCCGACCTTACGATCAGGGAGTCGACCGTTACCCGCTTCATTTACAATGAAGTATATGTACAAGAGGTACATTCACAAATTTCTAGAGGCATAGAAAACAAAGAGCTACGGTAGCAGATGGGACTAAGGGCGCTCAACCATCCGGACCTAGATAGGCAAAGTCAGCCACCGAGGGCAGGGTGGCCTCGGATGCCAGCAAATCAGGCGCGCCGGTAAAACGAATCTGGGAACGACGACACACTGTCCGGGCTTGCTCGCGCTGAAGGACGAAGGAGACGCGCTTGAAGAAGTTGGTTTCCAAAAGTTGAGGCACAAGGTCCGTCGTACCACTCATGTCGCGGATACGAGCTGCACCACGCCGGCTGCAGTACTGAAGGAACTGGAGGAAGGTCTTTCCGAAGCAACCGAAGGTCTCGATAGCCAAGGGGAAGAACTTGACGTCATGGCGATCACGTAATGAGGCAGCATAAAGCGAGTAAACATCTCGGTCGATTTCATTTTTTTTAAATACAAATATCAAACTTCTAACGCGATCCAGAACAGCCTAGGGTTTCGTAATTTTCTCTTTTCTCGTTCTCATGTCCTTCTTCTAGTCCCTAGTCCTCCCGTAGCTCCTACTTCCTCATCTCTCATGTTCTCAGGTGAGACTACTAAAGACTACTAATCCGTTCGTTCTAAAGTTAAGAGTGAGCCTTCTCAAGATGTAGACGTTAGTATGTCGTGATTGGTCGTTTTTCATTGTTGCAATGTAGTTTCACCTACGTTTAATGTACATTATCAAGACTTCTAAACTTGCTCATTTTCCTTTTTTATCTCTCTTGCACGGCCGTCTTTCCTTCGTGCGCCTCACGTCCGTTTCTTTCTCTCACTCCGATTTCGTTCAAGCTTTAATCGATTTTTTTCTGAAATTTTCTTTCCCATCTTCATTCAACCGTACTTCTTTAACGTTCTCATTCCTAACTTGATCTTTCTTTTCTCGTTCGTTTGTTCGTTCTTTTCTCTCTCTCGTTTCCTCTCGCTAGCGAAGCCTACTTCGTGATATGCTCCCGCCACCCACGCTCCACCCACCTCTCAAAGGTCAGAAACCTTCTATAAACTAGGACTATGTGACGGTTAGGTTAGACTAGTTTTTTCTTAATGTCGTATCCTACTAGTTTCTTTATGTCTTGACCGTTTTTTAAGACTGAAAGTTAATGAAGTGTAGGTTCCAGGCCTTTTGTAGGTCGTTCATTTGCCTCTATCCTTCAGCTTATCTCGTCGCGTGCTAGTCTTTAGGTCGTTCATATGCCTCTAAAAGTTTTTCATTCCGTATCCCGCTCGTTACCTTTCCTTCTTTCGTTTTCCCTATATATAGGCTCTCTTGTTGCTTTTCTTTTATGTTTTCCTTTGTTTCTGTTTTGTTTCTATGGTTGTTCCATTCTCTCTCTCTCTCTCTCTCTCTCTCTCTCTCTCTCTCTCTCTCTCTCTCTCTCTCTCTCTCTCTCTCTCTCTCTCTCTCTCTCTCTCTCTTTCTCGTTCTCTCGTTCTCTCGTTCTCGTTCTCTTTCTCGTTCTCTCTCTCTCTCTCTCTCTCTCTCTCTCTCTCTCTCTCTCTCTCTCTCTCTCTCTCTCTCTCTCTCTCTCTCTCTTGTTCTCTCTCGTTCTCATTCTTGTTCTCTCGTTCTCTCTCTCTCTCGTCTCTCTTTCTCGTTCTCTCTTTTCCGCTTTGTCTCTCTTGTTCTCTCGTTCTCGGTCTCTCGCTGTCGTTCTCTCGTTCTCTCTCTCTCTCTCTCTCTCTCTCTCTCTCTCTCTCTCTCTCTCTCGTTTTCTCACTCTCGTTCTCTCTCTCTCTCTCTCTCTCTCTCTCTCTCTCTCTCTCTCTCTCTCTCTCTCTCTCTCTCTCTCTCTCTCTCTCTCTCGTTCTCTCTCTCCGTCGTTCTCTCTCTCTCTCTCATTCTATCTCTCTCGTTCTCTCGTTCTCTTTCGTTCTCGTTTGTTCTCTCTCTCGTTCGTTCTCTCTCTCGTTCGTTCTCTCCCGTTCGTCCCCTCTCTCTCGTCCTCTCTCTCTCATCCTCTCTCCCTTGTTTTGAATCCATTCTTCTTGTTTTCTCTGCTTCTTCCTTTCGGTTGATTTTCTTTCACCGTATTCGCTCTTTATCCCTTCTACTCGTTCCTTTCTTGTTTTCTTTCTTCACCAGGTTGCGCGTACGCCAGATTAACTACCCTATGATTGAGCCAAGCGATTGGGAAATGTTGGATTGTGGAATTTGATTTAGATTGCTGTTCATAAATTTTGCATCTTCTGTTTTCATTTCTATGCGGTTCTATTATCGTTAGTTTGCCTTCGTGTGTGTGGGTGTGCGTATGTGTCATTGTGTGCATGCATGTTCGTCATTGCATCAACATGTAAAACTTATATGCTATAGTCTGTGTAGGCTGTAGTGGGGTAGACTATATGGGGTACAACATTTCTAGGTTTTCCTACTTGTACCCACCTGCTTGCTAGTTCATTTCATTCCTCATTCTTCACATGGTATAGAGCAGGTTCCCTAGTGGGAACGCTTCCTTGGGCCCACCACTGAAAACTTCCTTTCTGACCGGAGCGCCAGTCGCTCCTGCCCGAGGCGCGCCTTTTTGCCGCCCTTTCCAGGCCCCTAGTGGCCCCTAGCGGCCTCGTCGCCGCCCCTAGCGGCCCCGTTACCGCCCCTACGCGGCCCCGTCGCCGCCCTTAGCGGCCCCGTCGCCGCCCCTAGTGGCCCCGTCGCCGCCTCTCACCCTACGCGGCCCCGTCGCCGCCCCTACGCGGCCCCGTCGCCGCCCCTCCGCGGCCCCGTCGCCGCCCTTAGCGGCCCCGTCGCCGCCCCTAGCGGCCCCGTCGCCGCCTCTCACCCTACGCGGCCCCGTCGCCGCCCCTACGCGGCCCCGTCGCCGCCCCTCCGCGGCCCCGTCGCCGCCCTTAGCGGCCCCGTCGCCGCCCCTAGCGGCCCCGTCGTCGCCTCTCACCCTACGCGGCCCCGTCGCCGCCCCTACGCGGCCCCGTCGCCGCCCCTAGCGGCCACGTTGCCGCCCCTATCGGCCCCGTCGCCGCCTCTAACCCTAAGCGGCCCCGTCGCCGCCCCTAAGCGGCCCCGTCGCCGACCCTAAGCGGCCCCGTTGCCGCCCCTACGCGGCCCTGTCGCCGCCTCTAAGCGGCCCTGTCGCCACCACTACACGGCCCCGTCGCCGCTCCCCTCTCTAAGCGGCCCAGCCGCCGAGCCGCCCAACAGCCGGGCCGCCCAGCCACCGAGCAGCCGAGCAGCCGAGCCGCCGAGCCGCCCAGCAGCCGAACCGCCGAGCCGCCCAGCAGCCGAGCCGCCCAGCAGCCGACCCGCCCAACCGCCGAGCCGCCCAGCAGCCGAGCCGCCCAGCAGCCGAGCCGCTGAGCAGCCGAGCCGCCCTGCCGTCGAGCCGCTCCTCGTCCTACCGACGCGCCCCTGCCCTACTTACTCCGACTAGTGAGCTCACTCTTTGCTAGGCCACTGCAGTCATGGCTACCCCCAGTGTTCTTACCTTTAATACTGAGGGTCGTGCTGTTGACTTTGAGGTCTGGGTCGATGACCTCCAGCTGTTCCTCCAGTGCGATAGGGCAGACGGCCTCTCCCTGTTCGACCTCACCTCTGGTGCCTCCCCTGCCCCGCCTGCCACTGCTGACAGCACTGTTCGCTCACAGTGGGTGACACGCGATGCTGCTGCCCGTCTTGCTGTGCGTCGCCACTTACCGACCACTGAGCGTGCGCACTTTAGCCAGTACAAGAGTGCTCAGACCTTGTACGACGCTGTAGTTGCACGCTACTCTTCCCCTGCTACTGCTGCACTGAGCCGCCTCATGCTACCGTACCTCTTCCCTGACCTTGCTGCCTTTCCCACAGTCGCTGACCTCATTACGCACCTCCGCACTAGTGACACTCGCTACCGCGCTGCACTTCCCACTGAGTTCTGCGCCAAGAACCCCCCCCCCATGTACATCACCCTCTACTACATAGTCACCCGGCTCCCTGACTCTCTTCGCTTAGTCAGGGACCACTTCCTCTCAGTTTGCCCGACCACACTCACCGTTGACCTCCTCGAGGAGCGCCTCCTAGCAGCAGAGAAGAGCATAGTCGCTGTAGGAGCCTCTCGTGGTGACCCTCGCACCCCCGTCTTTGAGGGGTGTTCCCCCTCCCCCCTCTTGCCCTCTGTTGCTTCTGCTACTGCTGCCGACCTCGTTGGTTTCTACGGGGTCGGCGCTGCGTCTGCCCCTAGCGGGAGACGCCGCACCGGCAAGGGCAAGGGGGGCAAGGGAGCTGGAGGGGCTAGCGGGGGCGGTGGAGGTGGTGGTGGTGGCACTGGAGGGGGTGGGGGTGGTGGTGGGAGGGGTGGCGGGGGTGGCGGCGGCGGTGGCAGCAGTGGAGGCGGAGGAGGCGGCGGTGGTGGCGGAGGGAGCGGAGGCGGCGGAGGTGGCGGAGGTGGCGGAGGTGGCGGAGGCGGCGGAGGCGGCGGCGGCGGCGGCGGTGGAGCTGGTCGCGACTCTGCGCAGAGGAGTGGGTCCGGTGGTGGTCCGCGCCAGCAGCAGCAGCGCGGTCGTGAGACCCTGTCCCCTCAGCAGCTTCGTGAGTGGTACGCTGCGCGTCAGCGCGGTGGGGGTACTGGTCCCTGCACTTACGTCCTCCGTACCGGCGACCGCGCTGGTGAGCAGTGCGGGGGCCCGCACTCCACCCAGCGCTGCTTCGGCCGCCTGACGGACGCGTGGCGTCACCAGTTCCCTGAGGCGTCAGAGATCCCTCGCTGGGGAGATCTGTCTAGGGCGGGGGTTGCCATCTTTGATCTTGACTATGATGCTATCCTTGCTGCCCAGTATGCTGTGACTGCTAGTGTTGAGGGTGACTGTTACCTGTGTGTACCGCCTGACCCGGGCATTGAGGCTACTGCTCTAGGTGCTGGTGAGGCTGCTGCTCTAGGTGCTAGTGCGTCTGCTGCCCCAGGTGCTAGTGCGTCTGCTGCCCCAGGTGCTGGTGAGTCTACTCTCTCAGGTACTACGTCGGCTCAGGCCTTACACACCTTCACCCTTGACTCGGGTGCGTCCCGCTCCTTCTTTCGAGACCGCACCACGCTTACGCCGCTTAGTCGGCCGGTTGCGGTCTCCCTGGCGGACCCCTCTGGGGGTCCTGTCCTTGCTAGCTTCTCCACTGTCTTACCGTGCCCGGCAGCCCCCTCTGGCACCCTGTCAGGTCTCTACCTCACCTCGTTCTCTACGAACTTGGTGAGTGGAGCGGACCTACAGGATGAGGGGGTTGACCAGTTCACTCCTGCGAGTCAGCGGGTGACCCACTGCACGTGTGCTCGGACAGGCCGACACTTGGCCACGTTCACCCGTCGGCCAGGGTCGAGCCTGTACACCCTTACTACTCAGTCTCCTCCGGCTGCTGAGTCTGGCCAGGTAGCTGCGTCGAGTCAGGTGTTTGCTGCAGCGTCCAGGTCTGGTCCTGAGTCTGCTCCCTGCTCGTGTCGTCTCCTGTCCCACCAGACTCTCCTTTGGCACCACCGCCTTGGTCACCCCTCCCTGCCTCGTCTCCGAGGCATGGCCTCCCGTGTCCTTGTCTCTGGTCTCCCTCGGTCTCTCCCTCCCCTACCTCCGGGGCCTGGCCCTACCTGCGTCCCCTGCGTCGAGGGGCGACAGCGCGCTGCCCCTCACTCCTCCGAGTTTCCTCCGACAGAGGCTCCGCTGCAGACTCTCCACATGGACGTGTGGGGCCCCGCCCGCGTCCGTGGACAGGGGCACGAGCGTTACTTCCTGTTGGTGGTTGAGGACTACTCGCGTTACACCACAGTCTTCCCCTTGCACAGCAAGGGTGACGTCACTGAGGTGTTGATCGACTGGATCCGCGCAGCTCGTCTCCAGCTCAGGGAGAGTTTCGGCTCGGACTTTCCTGTTCTGCGTCTGGGTTTTACCCTGGTTGGCAGTTTTACCACCCCACCTCGCGCCGTGTTCTGTCCTCCCAGGACGTCACCTTTGACGAGTCGGTACCTTACTACCGTCTCTTCCCCTACCGCACTGCGCCCCTTCCCCCGCCCCCGCTCTTCCTTGCGCCAGGTCCTCCCCCGGTAGACCCCCTCCCCCCTCAGGGTCCTGCCCCGTCAGGTGTGTCCCAGGTAGACGCAGTCGAGCCTGTCGAGGTAGCTGTTGACTCTGGTGCTGTTAGAGCTGCTGAGCCTGCGGGTGCCGGGTCTGGGGGTGCTGAGCCTGGGGGTGCTGAGTCTGGGGGTGCTGAGCCTGGGGGTGCTGAGTCTGGAGGTGGTGAGCCTGGGGGTGCTGAGTCAGGGGGTGCGGAGCCTGGGGGTACGGAGCCTGGGGGTGCGGAGCCTGGGGGCGCTGGGTCTGCTCGTGTGGCCGCCGGCGGTGCTTCGTCGAGGCGGGAGCCACTCTCTCCACAGGAGCTGCGCGAGTGGTTTGCCCGGCGCTGGAGCCGTGCTGCTGGAGCTGGAGGTACTACTGTTGCTGCTGGTTCCGGAGGTGCTCGTACTGGCGGTACTGGAGCTGCTGGGACTGGGGGTGCTGCTGGGGCTGCTGGAGTTGGGCCTGGTGGAGCTGCTGGCGGAACTGGAGCTGCCGGACCTGCTGGAGTTGGTGCTGCTGGAGCTGCTGGAGCTGGAGCTGCTGGGGGTGTTGGCGCTGGTGTTTCTGCTGGCGCTGGTGCGTCTGAGGGTGCTGGAGTTGGCGCTGTTGGAGCTGGAGGTGCTGCTGGCACTGGTGCTGCCGCTGGGGGTACTGGTGCTGTCCTTGCTGGTTCTGGAGGCGCTACGCGGCCGAGGCCGTACTTCGTTCCGCTCCTTGAGCAGGTTCTTGCTCTCCCGCCCTCTATTGGTCCTGCTCCTCCCTTAGAGTGTCCGCAGCCTGTCCAGTCGCAGTCACAGTTACAGCCCGCCTCCCCCCTACCTGCTCCTTCTCCCTACACTGGTCCTACTGGAGGTCTTGCTGAGCGTCGTGAGCCTGCGTCTCGTCCTGCGTCGCCTATTCGAGCTGCTCGCACTAGCGGTCGTGCTTCACGTCCGCGTCCTCCTGCGGTCCCAGGCACACACCAGATGGCACTGCGTCCTTCCACTACTCCTCTGCGTGTCCCGTTGCCGTCTCCTCCAGAGTCCTCTCTTCCTCTTCTTGCTGACCCGGAGTCTGACTCTCTTCGTGCTGCCAGTCCTACTGTCACGCGTCTCCTGGCCACTGTTGTCACTGACCCTTCCTTTGAGTCCACTGCTGCGTCTGCCCTAGTTGCTGAGCTTGTCGAGTTCGCGGCTCGCTGTCGTCTAGACTACGCTGCTAGTCTTGTTGCTGAGTCTGAGTCTGTCTGTCCTCCGTCCGTCGGGGGTGAGTGTGCTCTTAGCACGGACGTCCTTGAGGACAGGCAAGAGGAGTTCCAGTGTTTTGCTGCTGCTTTGCCTCATCTCGTGTCCACGCTGATTGCCCCTGAGGGAGACCCGGATGCACCAGACATCCCGACTCCTCGATCGTACACTGAGGTGATCGAGGGTCCCTACTCCTCTCAGTGGCAGTCAGCCATGGACGCAGAGATGGCTTCCTGGAAGTCCACAGGCACCTACGTCGACGAGGTTCCCCCACCTGGGGCGAACATCGTCAGTGGCATGTGGATTTTCAGGGTGAAGCGGCCGCCGGGTTCTCCGCCTGTCTTCAAGGCGCGTTACGTGGCTCGAGGCTTCAGTCAGCGGCAGGGAGTTGACTACTTTCAGACCTTCTCTCCCACCCCGAAGATGACCACTCTTCGGGTGCTGCTGCACATAGCCGCTCAGCGCGACTACGAGCTTCACTCTCTTGACTTTAGCACAGCTTTCCTACATGGCAGCCTTCACGAGGAGATCTGGCTGCGCCGCCCACCTGGCTTCACTGGGTCGTTTCCTCCTGGTACCCAGTGGAGCCTCCGGCGGCCAGTCTACGGTCTCCGCCAGGCGCCCCGTGAGTGGCACGACACACTGAGGACTACACTTGCGGCTCTTGGGTTTGCTCCTTCTACAGCCGACCCGTCGCTGTTTCTGCGCACCGACACCTCTTTGCCGCCGTTCTACATCCTCGTGTACGTCGACGACTTGGTCTTTGCCACTGCTGACACTGCTGGACTCGCCCACGTGAAGTCCGAGCTGCAGAAGAGACACACGTGCACAGACCTGGGTGAACTGCGCAGCTACCTTGGCTTGTAGATCACCCGGGACAGAGCACAGCGCACCATTACCCTGACTCAGTCACACATGGTGCAGCAGGTCCTTCAGCGCTTCGACTTCACGTACTCCTCGCCTCAGGCCACTCCTCTGTCTACTCGCCACTCGCTCTCAGCTCTGCCTTCGGATGAGTCCGTAGAGCCGAGTGTCCCGTACCCAGAGCTTGTTGGCTGCCTCATGTACCTGATGACCTGCACACGACCTGACCTTGCATACCCTCTTAGCATCTTGGCACGCTATGTTGCTCCTGGGAGACACCGACCAGAGCACATGGCTGCTGCGAAGAGGGTGTTGCGCTACTTGTGCAGTACGTCGGGCATGGGGCTAGTGCTTGGAGGGCGACGTCCAGTGGTCCTCACAGGTCACGCAGACGCTTCTTGGGCTGACGACCAGGCTACGCAGCGGTCGTCACAGGGTTACACCTTCAGCCTTGGCTCCGGCTCTGTTTCGTGGCGGTCTACCCGCTCGTCTTCTGTTCTCAGCTCCAGCTGTGAGGCTGAGATCTACGCGGGGGCCATGGCTGCACAGGAGCTACGCTGGCTCACCTACCTGCTGACTGACCTAGGAGAGCAACCTTTTTTCTCCTCCAGTTCTGTACGTAGACAACAAGGCCATGCTGGCCTTGTGTCGGGAGCACAGACTGGAGCACAGAACGAAGCACATTGCTCTTCGCTACTTCCTTGCTCGTGAGCTGCAGCAGCGTGGTCAGCTGCGCCTTGCTTACGTGGCCTCTGAGGCCAACACTGCTGATATCTTTACCAAGGCACTTCCGCCTGGTGATCATCAGCGCTTCTGTACGATGCTAGGTCTTGTGCCTACTTGGCCTCACTTGCTCACTTCTTGACCTTGCTTGTACTGTGATCTTTCTATACCTGCACTTGCCTGTTTACCTTTATATATGATCTTGCATGTGAACTGGCCTTTTGGCCTTGCTCTTATGCTCGGATTATGTGGTGATGTTGTGATCCACCCTGAGCTTGCTTTGCTTTGCTTGACTGGTCTTGTGACCTCTTGTTCTCCCCCACTTTGCCTATGGGGGTGTGTCAAACTTATATGCTATAGTCTGTGTAGGCTGTAGTGGGGTAGACTATATGGGGTACAACATTTCTAGGTTTTCCTACTTGTACCCACCTGCTTGCTAGTTCATTTCATTCCTCATTCTTCACACAACAATGCATGTCTATGAATTTTAAAAAGATGGTTCAGGTCTATCATTTCACATAAGGTTCATTGGCGCACAAAGTGACTCGTGTGTTGCCACTTCGAACTGGATTTGATAGAGTTGACCATCTTTTTAAGATTTACAGATTGTGTTGTTTCATGTGAAAGGTGATTATTCAAAATCTATGCTATTGACCTCCCCCCCATGCTAGGCAGGGGATCGTGGTAGCTTAGTTTTTGGGTCGTTAACTATCACGCATTTTATTGTGTGCATGCATGTGCATCATGATGCATGACATCATATTATTAAACATTATGCATCATATCGCATTATTTATGCAGCATGCATCTATTTATCATTACCACAGCACCATTTAATAGTAACACATACTAATATATAACAGTACAGCATATATGCACAAAACCATTGATAAGAAAAAACATATGGTTTAATATACTGTGAACAGCACTCAAAATTCTTCAACATGCACACGTGGAAAGGGTACTGTAGTTTACGAATTTTATTTTCTTGTTTTATTAAAAATGATAAACATGAAAATAAAATTTGGCAAAATCGATTGTAAAGGGTTGCTTCGCAACCCAAAAAAAAAAAGGAAACGCATGGCGGGTAACGGGGAGTAAATCGTGGGGACCTGGGAACGCGAAAAGGGAGAAATATGGGGAAGGAGGATAGGGAATGATAGGGTTGGAGGGGGGAAGAGGAGAAGGAAAGGGGGACATGAATGACCAAGGGGGGCAAAGGATCGACGGAGAGTCGGTGTTGGACCGGAGTTGTTATGAGGGGGTGACTGGTAGCGGAGGGGGGGGAGGAATTGGAGTGCTAATGAGGGGCCGGGTAACTGGGAGATTGGAAAGGGAAATGCGGAGGTAGGAAGACGGCTGAGAGGGAATGAAGGAGGTTGGAGGACGAGGGAGTGGGATTGGGGGGGCTGGGGAATAGGGATGATAGGGAAGAGGGGGAACATGACAATGGGATATGGGGCAGGGACACAATTGGACCTTCGGGAGAGGGCTGCATGTAAAGTCGCGGGATGGGAACAGCTAAACAGAGGGCAGGGAGGATACAGAGGGAGCTGACGAAGCACGTGTAGTGGGGTGAGGGGTGGGTGGGGGGTGCGGGGGGGGGAAGAGGGGTTCGAGGAAAACAGATCTGTTTGGACAGAGTCGCGTCCAAGTGATTGTCCGTAATGGGTTGGCTTCGCCAATCTGGGTTGAACACATCGACTGGGCTTCTACAAACCTTGGACAATTCGCCAACGAATCAGCAGGCAGCAAAGGGTGTACCCTAGGAATGTGCACCCTTGCTTAAAGAGGGATGAGCTGGGGCAGCAATGTACCGCACGCACAAAGTGAACCAAGTTCGCTCAAAACTAACTTGGTGGTGTTGAAAGGGGGAATCAACGCACGCTGCAAAACGGAACGGCCCGGAACTATTCCGGAAATAGTTTCAGCTGGAATCAACGGCTGTAAACGCGATTTATTTCAGCCACATCATCTCTTTATTGTGCGGTGGGAATGCAGTTGGATCACTAGAGTGGCGGAAAAGCAGTTTTGGTCAGGAGAAAATATGTTACGATGAACACGGTAAGCCGTCAGATTAGAAACGAACGAACGACATATGCAAATGATTGGAAAAAACGAATAGATAATTACTAGCTAAGATTCTATGGCTGCATTGTCGTGAAATCCCCAAATCATGGGCTTTGCGTTTTTTGTTAATAAAAAAAAAAGTAATCCATTGATAAGTCGAATATTGATGTACCATGAGGATGTCAAACACTATATATGTGTTATTGCTGTGTAGGCTATAGTGGGTTAGCCTTTAGGGGGTACACAACTCTAGGGTTTCATACTTGTACTGCAATGTTGTGTAGTTCATTCACTTCTTGATTCTGACATGGTATTAAGAGCTTAGGTTCTAGACCTAAGGGCCCACCGTTCCGCTAGAGGTGCCCTCGTGCGCCCTGTTGTTTTGCGCCCTCGTGCGCCTTTCCCCTAGTGCGCCCTCGTGCGCTCTCCTCTCAGGCAGCCCGCTAGCAGCCCGAGCGCGGCCCCGTCGTTTTAGCGCGCGTAAGAAACGGCCGCCTAGGGCGGCCCGAATTTTTCTCGCGAGCCCCAGCAGGCCGTCGCCCGTAGGCCCCGCTTGCCCCTAGGTCGACGCGCGAACCTCAGCCGCCCGGCCACAGGTCGCAGCTAGCGCGACCAGAGCGTCGCGGCCCCGCCAGTAGGCCGCCGCGACGCCCCTCTAGGCCGTCGCCCGCGCGCTAGTCAGGCCCACGCACAGCCGCGGCCCGCCCGCTACAGCCGCCCACGCGCACGCCCCTCGTCGCGCACCGCCGCGTAGCCCAGCCCGAGCCGAGCCGCGCCGCCCGAACCGAGCCGCACCGCCCGAACCGAGCCGCGCCGCCCAACCCAAGCCGCGCCGCCCGAACCGAGCCGCGCCGCCCGACCTGAGCCGCGCCGCCCTACTGTGCCCCACGTGCAGCAACTCATGTTCCTGTTCCTGTCGTCCTACTGCTTCAACTGCTACTGCTACTACTGCTACTGTTCCTACTGCTACTGCTGCCACTATGGCCACTCCCTCTATTCTCACCTTTGACGCTGAGGGCCGCCCGGTTAAGTTTGAAGTTTGGCTAGATGACCTCCACCTGTTCCTCCAGATCACTGCCAAGGAAGATGTCTCCCTGTATGACCACACATCAGGTGCTGCTCCCGCACCTCCCACTACTGCTGACAGTACTACTCGCTCCCAGTGGCAGACCCGTGATGCTCACGCCCGCCTAGCCGTTCGCAGCCACCTGCCGTTAGATGAGCGCGAGCACTTCGGCCAGCATAAGACCGCTAAGGAGCTGTACGACGCAGTAGTCGCGCGCTACTCCTCCCCTGCCACTGCTGCTATAGGCCGTCTCTCACTGCCCTACCTCTTCCCCGACCTGTCCGCCTTTGCCACTGTAGCTGACCTCATCACCCACCTCCGTACCAGTGACCTCTGCTACCGTGCCGCACTGCCCCCAGATTTCCTCGCCAAGAACCCCCCCCCCCCCCCCGATGTACCTCACACTGTACCACCTTGTCACTCGCCTTCCTGACTCCCTTCGCACAGTCAGGGACCAGTTTCTCGCCCTTTCCCCCACTGACCTCACTGTCGACCTCCTCGAGAAGGAACTCCTAGCAGCTGAGAAAAGCAATTGTAGCTGTAGGTGCCTCTCGTGGTGACCCCCGCACCCCCTTTTTTGAGAGGTGCTCCCCCTCCCCCCTCCTCCCCTCCATTGCATCTGCTGCTGCTGTCGACTTCCTCGGAGCTGAGGGGGTCGGGGCCGCGTCTGCTCCTAGTGGGAGGCGCAAGGGCGGCAGGGGCAAGGGGGGCAAGGGTGGTGGAGGTGGAGGCGGGGGCGGCGGCGGTGGAGGGGGTGGGGGGGGGCGGGGGTGGTGGCGGAGGTGGGAGTGGCGCGGGTGGTGGGGGGGTCAGTGGCGGCACAGGGGGTGGTGGCGGCGGCGGTGGTGGAAGTGGTGGGGGCGGTGGTGGCAGTGGTGGTGGCGGTGGAGCGGGTGGCGGGCGCGGTGGAGCGGTGCAGCGTGGGGGGTTCGGCGGTGGCCAGAGGCAGCAGCAGCACCGTCCCGGCGAGGCTCCCTCGCCCCAGCAGCTCCGTGAGTGGTACTCTCAGCGTGGGGGGTCTGGGGGTGGAGGTACCTGCCCGTACGTCATCCGCACAGGTGACCGCACTGGCCAGACTTGTGGGAGGTTTCATACGGCACAGCGCTGTTTCTTTCGCCTCGACGACGCCTGGCGCGAGCAGTTC